TCCATTCAGTCTTTTGGTTGGAGCATTTAATCCATTTATATTTAAGGTAATTATCACTATGTATGTTCCTATTACCATTTTTTAAATTGTTTTGGGTTTGTTATTGTAGGTCTTTTTCTTCTTTTGTGTTTGCTGACTAGAGAAGTTCCTTTAGCATTTGTTGTAAAGCTGGTTGGTGGTGTTGAATTCTCTTAACTGTTGCTTGTCTGTAAAGGTTTTAATTTCTCCATCAAATCTGAATGAGATCCTTGCTGGGTAGAGTAATCTTGGTTGTAGGTTCTTCCCTTTCATCACTTTGTATATATCCTGCCACTCCCTTCTGGCTTGCAGAGTTTCTGCTGACAAATCAGCTGTTAACCTTATGGGGATTCCCTTGATTGTTATTTGTTGCTTTTGCTTTGCTGCTTTTAATAATTTTTCTTTGCATTTAATTTTCGATAGTTTGATTAATATGTGTCTTGGAGTGTTTCTCCTTGGATTTATCCTGTAATGGGACTCTCTGTGCTTCCTGGACTAGATTGACTCTTTCCTTTCCAATATTAGGGAAGTTTTCAACTATCATCTCTTCAAATCTTTTCTCAGTCCCTTTCTTTTTCTCTTCTTCTTCTTCTGGGACCCCTATAATTCGAATGTTGGTTCATTTAATGTTGTCCCAGAGGTCTCTGAGACTGTCCTCAATTCTTTTCACTCTTTTTTCTTTATTCTGCTCTGTGGTAGTTATTTCCACAATTTTATCTTCCAGGTCACTTATCCATTCTTCTGCCTCAGTTATTCTGCTATTGATTCCTTCTAGAGAATTTTTAGTATCATTGATTGTGTTGTTCCTCATTGTTTCTTTGCTCTTTAGTTCTTCTAGGTACTTGTTAAACATTTCTTGTATTTTTTCCATTCTATTTCCAAGATTGTGGATCATCTTTACTATCACTCCTCTGAATTATTTTTTAGGTAGACTGTCTATTTCCTCTTCATTTGTTTGGTCTGGTGGGTTTTCACCTTGCTCCTTCATCTGCTGCGTATTTCTCTGTCGTCTCATTTTTCTTACCTTACTGTGTTTGATGTCTCCTTTTTGCAGCCTGCACGTTCATAGTTCTCATTGTTTTTGGTGTCTGCCCCCAGTGGCTGAGTTTGGTTCAGTGGCTTGTGTAGGCTTCCTGTTGGAGGGGACTGGTGCCTGTGTTCTGGTGGATGAGGCTGGATCTTGTCTTTCTGTTGGGCAGAACCAAGTTTGGTGGTGTGTTTTGGGGTGTCTGTGAACTTAGTATTATTTTAGGCAGCCTCTCTGCTAATGATTGGGTTTGTGTTCCTGTCTTGCTAGTTGTTTGGCATGTGGTGTCCAGCACTGTAGCTTGCTGTTCTTTGAGTGGAGTTGGGTCTTAGCACTGAGATGGAGATCTCTGGGAGAGTTCTTGCCAACTGATATTACATGGGTCTGGGAGGTCTCTGGTGGTCCAGTGTCCTGAACTCAGCTCTCTAACCTCCAAGGCTCAGGCCTGACACCCGGCCGGAGCATCAAGACCCTGTCAGCCACATGGCTGTCACCGGAAAACTTCCTGGAATCTTCCTCTCTGATGCATTCAGAAGTACTACTCAATTTAATGGATTTTTGTAGTCAGATCAGAAAGTTAACCCACAGGTCTTAATTTTTCACCTAAGTATTACTGAAAACTCACAATATATATATTCTTTTTCAGATTCTCTTCCCTTATAGATTACTACAAAATATTGAGTATAGTTCCCTGTGCTATACAGTAGGTCCTTGTTGTTTATCTATTTTATATATAGGACTGTGTATATGTTAATCCCAAACAATTTATTCTCCCAACCCCTTCCCTTTTTGTAACCATAAGTTTGTTTTATATGTCTGTGGGTCTATTTCTGTTTTGTAAATAAGTTCATTTGTATCTTTTTTTAGATTCCACATATGAGTGATATCATATGCTATTTGTCTTTCTCTGTCTGACTTACTTCACTTAGTATGATAATCTCTAGTTCCATCCATGTTGCTGCAAATGGCATTATTTCATTTTTTTATGCCTGAATAATATTCCATATTGTGTGTGTGTGTGTGTGTGTGTGTGTACCACATCTTCTTTAAGGGATGCAATATTTTAAATGGGATACTGCATTGTATTGACTGCAAACAGATAAACAAATAAAACATTTCATGAAATACTAATGAATTGTTCCATTTCCAAAGAAAGTAGTGCCTGGGAATCTATTCGAAGATTGTAAGGGTTGTGGCTAGAGTAGCTCCCACAATTTACCTAGTCTTCAAGGATTAGAAGGTAATTTTCATTCTCCACTAATCACTCTTTTCACCAGAGCTTGAAAAAATATCTTGTGCAATAACTGCCTGCTTGCTATAATTCTTTTCCTACTGGTCTGCTTTCAGGAGACTGAAGGATACCCTTCTTCCACTGAAGTGGAGAATGACAGGACAAAGAAATACTCAAATGTATATTAAGAAGTTATGGAAAATTGATATAAACCTCACTTACTTAGAAGGCAACCAGTGTCCAAGCAAGTCTTAGCTTAGAAAACTAGACAAGTTTTTCTCTAGAAAATACTATACATAGAGCATTGAGGAGGATACAATACATAGGCACAGAATTATTTAAAGAAAACAGTTTAAAACTCTAACTTAATCCCACACTCCAAAGCCAAAATATCGCAGCATATTACATAAAATAATCAGTATTTCCTGGGATCCACCCCCCAAGAGGTCCATTCCCAAAGATCTACAATAAAAGGCCTGAAACACTTAAAGACCAAAGTTCTTAAGTATACCTGTTGTTTAAAAATGATATTAAAAAGTAGTATTTTATAGTTGAGTTCATTTGGGGGAAGTTGAAATTGATGGTAGCAACTGGATTGATATGTATGTGATCTGGTTACCTTCCCTTAAGTGCCACAAGCCATAGAGAATCTCCTGCCCTTATGACAATTGCAACGCCGGGTTGGTTTCCCACATCTTCCCCTTGTAACTCCGTGTAAGTTCCATGAGTTTTCCACAGTTGAGACCCTCCCCCCTGTGTAAGGCTTTGATGATAAACTTCCACAGGGCCTCTTGCTTCATTAATTATTTCACCTCCACATTTTTCACTTACCGTTGTCTGTCCCATGACTCAAATTTCCCCAAACCAGTGCCAGTTTTAGGTGTTTTATCTTTCTTGGCATATAATGAGTATCTACAAAGTTGCACTGCTAGAACTGAATAATTTGTGCTGCAGTTTTTCATTATATCTTACAGATACAGGGTCATGGTCTTTCCTACATGATCCACATAAAAATATCTAGAACCACTAAACAAGATCAATATTTTTTCTGCCATTTTCCTTTTATTTATTTTTGTAAGCATTATTTCTCAACATCTATTTTCTTAAAACCTACTTTTAGAAATTTTAAATCCCGAGTGAGTCATTTTTCCAACTTTTGGGGGAACTTTGCTTTCTTCAGAGTCAGAGGACATGAAAAACCTTGTCCATAAACTGAAAAAAACTCGAGGTCACATATTTTCAGCATCTACTAGAAAGTTAAAGATCTAGGACAGCATATGAAGTCAACTGAAATTATAACTACTGTCTGTAGTTAAATGCACACTAACTACAGTATTTAGCTATCTGGGCCCATTTCTTCAAGATTCTAATTCCTGTCCAGTTCACTAAATGAGTCATTCTATCCCCCATTTTTATCATACCTGGATGGAAGGTGCCAGTTAATTGTTTGCATGTAATGTGATCATTCATAGTGGACCATTTGAATGACAGCAAGGATAGATGATTACCAACACACAGACAAGCAGTACATGCTTGATAAGATCAGTGTAATATGAACATATCCTCTATTTTATTCATATTAGTAAGGATTCTGTCTAAAACATTTGTATTTATTCTAAAGTAGAAGCTAATTTTGATATGAAGAGAATGAAATAAAATTTACTAAGATAGTAAAAATAAAGTGTAATGAGATGATTCAAATGGACTTGTAGCATTTTAAAATTTCTCAGAGTTAGCATTTTGAATATCAAACCTCATTCTATTATATATGGTCATACAAAGAGGTTAAAGTGATTTTTACTTGGTGGAATACCATAACTATAATTTTCTGCTTTTAATATTTTAGCAAAAATAATTTAATTAATGTAATTTGTGTTTTCTGTCCTCAGACTCTTTGTTGAAGAAATTGTTCAAGTTCTTACATAAAATATGGTTGTCTATGCACTTATCAGTCGTTTTTACTAGAGGTACATGTGAATTTTCTGCTCATTTTGGACCATATGTGGCAACATTCAATGCAAATTAGTCAAGTGAATTAAATTTATGGAAAAAAACCTATGCTTTTCACTTAAAATCTTACTTCATGTTACATTGAATTAACTTTTATGAAACGATTCAGGCCAAAATTAAATTTTATATTTTAAGACTTTATACAGGCAATGAAGGAACTGTTATTTTGGAAAACCTTTCTTTTCTTCAAAGTACCTTATAAAGTTTCATTCAAAATCAGTCATACATTATTTATCATTTTTTTCATTTTTGTTAATATGAGTATCTACAATACTATTCAAAAATATACATGAATAATTTGTTCATAATGTTATTCCTTATAAAGAGCTATATTATTTAAATATTTTAGACAATCCTATTTGCCACATAAAAAACATTAAAATAACTGTATATACAACTCAAAACTGTAAAAGCGTTAATTATCAGGCATATTCATATATTTAAGAATTAAAAGTTATTCCGTTGTTTTTTTGGAGTAAGGCAAGAAAAGGATGGGCTTCTTTTGGAAAAGTGAGACTGGTATTGAATACTACCACAATCAAATTACTTAGTTAACTATATAATTAAGTACATTTTCCTTTGCATGTAACGAACCTGAGGGGAAATATTAAATCAAAATAGTAGCTCTAGTGAGGGACCAGAGGTCAAATATCAAAATACTTTGCTTAGTAAGAACCATTATAATATCACATTCAATAGTCAACAGATACTTACTGAGTGCAACTGCTTTTGAGGCAACATTTCAGGCACTTGAGGTATACCACTGAATAAGGCGGATGGATATCTCTGCCCTCTTGGGACTTCTATACTAGCAAGAAGAGACAGAATAAAACCCAAACATAATAAGTAAGCAAATGATATAGCCTGTTAGAAGGTGGTAAGTGCTATGAAAGAAGAAAAAGTAGAGCAAGTTAGGTGGGGGGGAAGGAAATAAGACTCTAAAACATAGGGTGTACATTGCAGTAACAAGTAGGGTGCTCATTGTGGGCAACCCCATGCAGCAGGTGACAACTGAAAGAGATAAAGAAAATTAGGCAAGTGGACATATAGGGGAAAGGGTATTCCAGGAAGAAGAAACAGCTAGTGCAAAGACCATAAGGAACAGGAATACCAGTGCCACAAAAGCACAGTGAGTGGAGGAGAGTAGTATACGAGGTCATGGAAATAACTCGGGCCAGATTTTTTAGGTCAGCAAATATTTCTGTGAAAAGCCCAATGGTTAAGTATTTTAGGCTTCACTATACACAGTCTTTGTTGCCAACAACTCATTTCTACCTATGTAGTACCAAAGCAGCCATAGGTAAAATATAAGTAAATGTAAGTGTCTAGGTTCCAATTAACTTCATTTATGGACATTGAAAGTTAAATTTCACATAATTTTCACATATCCTACAGTTAAAAAAAAAACACCCTTTTTTAACCATTGAAAAATGTAATATTATCCCTAGCCCATGGGTTACTAAAATATGTCAGTGGGCAGATTTGGCATACGGGCCATAGCTGCCAACCCTTTATGTGACATGGTTACCATTGCAAGGATATTGGCCCTTAGGTTCAGTGAAATGGGGTTTCAGTGTGGGGTTTTCAGCAGAACAACAGCATGATAGGTCTTACAATTTCTAAAGATCACTTGGGTGGCTGTGCTGAGAATAAAAGTTACAGGGCGAGGATAGAATGAGGAAGACCTCATTAAAAGGTTGATAGGGAATTCCAGGCAAAGATGACGAAGGCTGAGACCAAGTTGTAGTAGTGGAGGTAGAGAGGAGTGGTCAGATTCCAGACCTGTTTCGAAGGGGGAGCCAGTAGCCTTCCTGGCTTCTTTATGTACACACAGAGTACAAAATTACACAGAGGCACAAAAGTTGCCTCCTGAGCAACTTGCAGAAAAAATAAAGACATTAGAACTAGACTAACCTTGATTCAAACCCCATCTCACCATTAATGCGACATCAAAAGAATAACTCTCCCATGCTTAGTTTCCTAAGGGTGAAATGGCGATGATATTTATCTCACAGAGCAAGTCAACTGTAGAGAAAATATCAGGTATTCAATGGTAGCACTGCATTATGTGACATGACAATTAATTCTTCTACCACCCAACAAGGCAAGGTCGTGTCACGTCCTCATTGTGGAGAACATGAGCACACACTGCAGTCCTGCCCAGTATCATGCCGGCTGTTCATTGCAGCGCTGAGTTTGAAACCCATTCCACCTGACTCCAGAACCCATGCTGTTAACCACTATGCAGTGCTGCCTCCCTGGAAAAATTACGATTCATTTTTCATAAAACCAGAAACCCACCACCAAATGACTTAACTTTCAGAGCCTAACTTAAAGCTGGATACAGCAGATCAAGGATTAGAAAAAGGAAGCAAAACGACAATAAATACAGCCTGATATTAAGAAAGGAGCCAAACAAGAAGTAAAAGGATTGTAACAAGTATGCATAGGAAAGAAATTTAGGAAAAGAAAATTTTAAGGCAAATAATACCACATCACATTGGGTCTTGATTATCCATGAAGACAATTCTATTTCATAGGAAAATAGGAAGACACAAATTCAATCATTCACTTGCTAAGTATTTTAGAGTGCCAAGAACCATCGCTGAAACTTAGAAATACAAGCAAAGAAGCTATATATGTCATCTGCCCTCTTGTAGAAACCATCATTTGTGATTAAAGGGGTCTATTTTTCGTGGGGTTAAGTGACCCTCAATACCTTTGCAAAAAAAAGAGAAAAATCAGAATGACAGAAACATAATCCAATCTCCAAAGAGAAGGAGTACAATTATTGAAGTTGCAATAGGAGTTTTGTGTTTGCTAATTGCTTAAAGGGAGGGTTCAGGAGAGTGAAGAAGGGAACACTAAATATTAAACTGAATGGATTCTTACTAGTCGCTTGTCAACTAAAATGACCACCTGTATTAGGGTGCTGCTGTCTCCCAGGTTGTCAGAGCCACGAACATCAGCAGAGACTGAGGGTATCCGGAAAAGAGACTAACAAGCATAGTTATAATAAAGAAAAGATTATCTCAGAAGGCATGTACTGGTCAAGGTAAATTTGGTTACTAATGGAAAATATACATACCAATGTAAGAGAACATATGGCAAAAAACTTGAGAATGATATGAAGTATGAAGAAATACACTTGTGCATATTATATATTTTGATTGATTTATAATCAAAATATATGGATCTCTACATGAATATTGACCAAAAGAAGAAAATATCTTGAAGGAGAGAATATCATATCCTCACATCTGAGGCAGCTCTATTGTAGAGACAGACATTGTGTCAGCTAAGTTCTCTATTTTTCCCTGAAAATCTCAAATCCCGATCCAGGCATAGCCCCTGATTTCAGTAATGTTGGTCACCCCTGCACACCTAGCATTGCCTATTGGCTGGTGACAGTATCTCCTTGATGAGCAGGCCGGGGCCAGTCCCAGGCAGCTCTCCTTTCAGCCTGACAGCTGCATATCCCAGGTGGTCTGACATTTGAGATGGAGGCTGTGGATAAGATTGAAGGTGTTTTAGGAAAGAAGTAGGCTGTGAATAACACCAAGACTTCATCCAGATGGAATCGCTCATGAGACAACCTGAGATAGTCTATTACTGCCCATATGTCTTCTAGGTCTCCGAAGGCCAGGCTCCATTGATTTATTAGAAACCCACTATTTATGCTTTTGGCTCATCTCACAACAGACTACAGTAAAGGATTTATCAGAGACGCTGCTGTTTCTGGCAGCTGTTGGAATTTTATAAGTTCTTTAAATAAAACAGCCTCCATAAATATCCTAGTAAACATCAGACAATAAAGTAAATATTTGGGGGTGAGATTCAGTTTATTTCCTTTTAATACACACCACCTTTTTACAAGTTTCCTTCTGAGTGCAGCCCCATGGCAAAACCTTTTACAGAACATACCTATTTTAGGTAAATAAATAAATATGTGACTCCAAAGAAGTCAAAATTACTAGATATAGCTATGCTCACAGTATTGCTTAAACACTATTTTTCCCTTGCAGATAAGCCTTGGAAGAATTATTTCATCATTTTACCAGCACAAACAGTTGTTACTAGTGTATCTTATTTATAGATGGTTCTTTGAGGAACTATAGTAATATAGCAAAATATCAGTTATTTCATCACACTGGTGAATTTAATGAACCTGAAGGTGTGTGTTATTTTAGCACTTGCTGTAGCTCCTGTGAAAACCCAGTGGTGCTAAAATCTGTAAACCTGTCATTGCTTAAGTAATAACCTTGTTAAAAGCATCTTCATTTAACTTACTTTAGCTTCTGCAGGATGTAGGTTTTGTTTTATCAGTGCAGAGAGTAGGTGTTTCAAACCCAAACCACTTATTGTAAATATAATTAATTGTAGTTCATTAATTTATTCACAGTGTTATTGCTTTTATTCTAACACTTACGTTAAATTAAATATTGTCTGGAATCTAGTACCCATTTTCAATTTTTTACAAACTCTTAATTTATATTGAAGTTCTGTGGTTACAAGAATAAATTTTAGTCTGCACCAATGAAAATGTTCATTTTAATTTGTAATACTCCTTCATGTGAGGCACAATGACTCTTCCTCCCCTATACACACTGTAGATTGAAAAAAAAGCACATTTCTGTTAATCTGCTTGGAATGGATTTGAGTTTATTCTTGCCTTTTAAAATGTGGAGAAAATTGGATATTGATGGTAGGTGTGCAGAATTATCAGTTGATTTCTGCAAGAACACATCTACTCATTATTGAAATGCTGGCAATAAAAGTGGGAACTCCCTCCTATTTAGAATTATTTATGAAAAGAGAGGAAGGAAGGGAGAGACAGAGAGTGTGGATGAAAGAGGACAAAAACTGTAATTTGTATAATTATAGTCTCAAAACAAAAACAAACTTTCTATAATTACCTAGATAGGCCAACAGCAAGGTGTATGATAAAAGCTATATGTTATCAGCCACTTTGAAATCCTTGGCTGATTGCAATAATGCAGTCAGTAAATACTGACACATGTTCCGTTCGTTCTATGACCACATCTAGAAGAACGTTATAAAAGGTGTTGGTGGCCAACCACTGTTTCATTGCCGAGTGACGTTAGTTAAACAGCTACTAGCCTGATAGGTAGATTAAGATTTATATCACATTTTCTTTCCCCAAAAGGTATCAAGAAAAATGCAGGATAGAAATAGTATAATAGGCCCACTTGGTAATAAATTGAATCTGTCAAGGTGGTTTTGTTTCTGAATCCATTATTTTTAATACAACTTAAAAATTTTTTTTATAATAATCAAGATACCTTTGTAAAATCCCTCCAAATTGTAATCCTGATATTATTTTTTTCTACTCCTCTCATTATAAATGTTGATTTTAAATTTGGGGCTAGAGAGAGTGAGGAGAGGAAACACATCAAGAACTAAAACAATTTCTTGGGTTATTTTCAACATGTAAAATAATAACTTTAAACATTGTTTTCTGTTTAATGATTTTTGTCTTTTAGATGAAGGTTCTTAGAATTATTAACATTTAGATTGGTTGAAGTGTGGGTCATTCAAATAATAGTATATTTAAATACGCAGTGAAAAAAGTTTGAAAATTGCATATATACTTTTGCTGTTATTGTTAATCTCTTTTTGTAACATACCTATTACTAAAAACTTTCTTTAGTAATTCAGTTAATGTTTATATGCCTTGAGTAAATGACATTCTTAATCAGAATATTAAGCAACCATGTTAATTTTTGTTTTGTCTGACAGTATAGTTTCTAAATAATAGCCAGACAAGAGATTACACAATTGT